TTCTTCGCACAACCAGGAGGCTGTGACTGTCTTAGCAGCAAACCACAGTCGTGAGTCAAAAATTCAGGGACAACAGGCAGTGTTTTCACAAAGCAGACAGACGACAAATAGGGAAACAAATTAAAAAGGTAAGCAGTAAAATATCTACAGTATGGAGAGCAAGCATTTGTGGGAACTAGGAAAAATGTTGTCCATGTTGATTACAGGTTTTTAAAATTTTTGTAAAGCGAATAATGAAAGAAAGTCAACCTTCGTTTTTCTTTTTGTATGATTCATGGCATTTTAACTTTGTCACCACTGCACATACAACATTTCTCTCTACTTCTAGCTATAGTCATGCTGTTTCCATCGAGGTGCAGCCTTTTATACTGCAGTAAAAAAAAAAGAGTCCACACTGAGTAAAAATGTAAAAGGAGTTTAAAAAAAAATATCTAAAAGATAAAAAAAGGATATTATCTCAATCTCCAGCAATGAATCTACAGCACTAAAAGCAAAATGGGCTAAATGATTTCCCTCTCCTGAAATTAATTCAACTGCTGCTTTATTTTTTGACTATTCAAAACAATCATTCCACCAAGGACACAGTGTATCACGCTGTGTGAATGTGTTCAAGGAGAGTGAAAGAAACCACTCACAGACCAGCATGTGTTCAACTAATGATTATCTCTGGCAAACATTAGTGTGCATGTGTGTGCCAAAGCCAGCTGAATGACCTGCATATGCAGTCACATGAAGACGCGTTGTCAGTTTCAGGCCTTGCTTCTTCTTTTTTGACTGAAAGGGATGATGAGTCAGGCATCCCAAGTAAAACAGATTAAATTAAATAAGTATCCACAGGGGCCAAAACAGATCACAATGCCATAATAAACCTATAAAAATTAAGTGGCTATGACAGCCAACTAATGATGGATGTGATGACAGTTCTGGGTCTCGCCTGAGCCTTCATGCGTGAGATGTAAAGACCGAACCCTTGCCTCTGATACAGGTAGACACAGTTACTCCCCACATCAAACAAAATCTGCACTTACATTGTGTGTCAGCTCAAAGTATTTCTGGCATGCCAGCTGGTAGTGCATTCCTTTAACCAGCTCCAGGATCTGCAACAAAAGGCAGAGTATACAAAAAGAAAGTTAAACTCTTTTCAAGTTAGATACTGACGCAGTGCATTTACAGAGGATGCTGTCGACAGTTTGTGTTGCTGCAGCCCTGTATTCAAATGTTGTTTTTATTGGCTTTTGGTCAATTACCTCATAACAAACATACCTCATAAATCATAATGACAGCAGTGAATCCATCCTGTAGGAAATCTTTGCAAATGTAATAAAAACAGATCACTTATTCGGGCTAATTTAAATATTCATGCCCTGAGTCAACAGTTTGTAGAATAGCCACTGGCAACAATTACACATTCAAGTCCTCTGGTATATCTCAATTTTTGAATTTCCTGTTTCTTTACTTATTGAAGTTCTGTAAAGTTGAAAAGGGAGTGTGTGCGAGAAGGCAAGTCTGGAGCTCAAGTTTTTGCTGGGTCACATAAGGGCTCTCACATTCTTAAAAAGAAAAAAAAATACTCAAAACACACTGTAGTGGTGTGGCTGCATACTCAAGGTGAGCGACCTGCTGAAAAATAAATTCAAGGTCTTCAGCAGTCAGTAAGAGAGACACTCTTCTGAGGAGTCTGTCTGCATTCGGTTCCTTCATTATTCCCTATATTCCTGAAGGGTGCCTCCAGCGTGATACTGCCAGCAGCATGCTCAACACTGGGGCTGCTGTTAGATCAGTAATGAGCTATGCTCTGTTTCAGCCAGATATTACAGTTTTTATTACAGGTTTAGTTTGCTTAGTGGAATGTTGGGAGCATTTGCAAAAACGCACACTAAAGACTGATAGTAAAGGGAAAACAGTAGGTGTGCTGTCAGTATTAGTTCAGTTTTCCCTCATGCCAAAGGGCAAATATCACATGAATGCAATAACAGGATTTCATTTCTTGTTTGTGAGGTTTATTCTCGAGGGTTCCAAGAGGGTCGGAGAAGGATGTTGATGATTTGCAAGACATTTGATTATCTTGTTACACACTAACAATTTTTTCATTTCACGTCTTCTATGAAAAGGTGTCGGGCGTAATCACATGAAAACAACAGTGTCGCAAATCAATATGGTTTTGGCAATTGTGTCTATGTGGAAATACTGTATAGACATTCCTAGATAAAGTCTTTCTAGCTTGATGATCCTGACAGTTCACTATGATGTTGACATTTACTGCTTTAGAAAAAACATCTGAAACTACTACGTGGCTTGTCATAAAATAACTTTACTGATCTAGAAACTTTTAGCTCGGGCCATTGTCACGTTATTTGTGTTCAATGCTGATATACAAATATTAGCATACTAAAACTCCAAAGCAGTATGGTGAGCATCAAGATGGACATCATAAAAGATCCCCAAAAGTAAAGCCAAAATATCTGCACAGTACTGCATGGAGCAATACACTGACACCAGGTCTCTACCACATGGTCACTAATGCAGAGTCTCGGGTTGCAAAAGACATCATCATGCAAGATGGCAGAGTCCACTTGACTCGACTTTTGTGCAATGGGAAGAAGTGATGATGCATCATCTATCTTGAGATATAGTCTATGCTATTGCCATTGTGAGCATGTTAGCGTTAGCATCATAAACTGTTTATGAAGATGGATGTAGCCTCCAGGTTTAAAAAAAGTGAAGCCAATGCAGAAGTGACTTCAACCAGCAGGGGGCGACTCGTCTAGTTATCTAATTGTGTAGAAGTGTTTTCATTTAATTTGTTACCTCAATTAATACCGTTCCTAAAGAAGTTAGTGTCTATGTTGCTAGTTTCAAGACTTTCTGAATACAGTCTGATGGTAATTTCATAAATTGAGGTCCCGTTTCGAGCAATATAGGTGAGCTTTGCTTTGATGGACATGTAGCTACCATAGAGACATACATCGCATCCTTGAGTTCTCAGTCAGACCCCTTGGTCCTTAATGCTGGTTTCAAAAGACCAAGATAGCAACAGCCAAATTCCAAACTTGAGGCCTCAAAATGGTAGTCGCCAAACCAATGGGTGATGCCATGGTGGCTATGCCCATCATTTGTATGAGTCTGTGGTTGGCATCAAGCTCAAAGCACCACTGGGTTTAAGTAAGGTCTCACACAGCCTCCAGAATGGCAACATACCATTACACTTGTAGGCTGTAATCTACAAGGCAAAACAATTGTCAGCACAGTGTCCCTCCGTAGCTTTAAAGGTTACTTCACAGATTTTACACAGATTTAGATTTTATCAAGCTGTTGCCAAAACAAAGTTTCCTGCATAACTCGATAGACCCTTGGCTAGGGTGTAAATGCTGTGAGCAGCAAGTCACTGGTTCAATTCCCAGCCAGCCAGGACTTTACTGCATACCAGTCTTCTTCTCTCTTCCTCCACATTTCCTGCTTCTCTACACTGCACTATTGGAATAAAGGCAAGAATGCCAAAAGAATAAAAAAGCATAACATTTCGTGACACTGTGGAAGAAAGGTAGCATACAAAATGTCCCCAGTCAGAAGCGGATAATAGTGGCCAGAGGGCTCTTCAACCATTTGACAGACCGACAGCACACAGGACGGCACCCACCTGACTGATTCCACTGGGAGACACCTTGTAGAACTGCAGCTTCTGCTTCAGCAGCTCTGGATCACTGTGACGGAATGGGCATCCTACCAACACGAGAGGAAAATTAATTGCAATAATAATTAGATGTGTAAATAAATCATTAAGACAGCATACAGCATGCAGATGGGAAGAAACTGAAAGATTCAGCAAGTGAAAACTACAGAGATTTTAGGGAAGACAATGTCCACAGAAAATTGCTTCACTATTTCAATGCCAAGACGCCTGACTAAAACGCCAGATAATGACCGCTGAGTGGCTTATCAAACGGGTAACAGCTTCTTCCAAACAGCCATCAACTCACCATGATGGTCGCCTTGGCTGGGTGGGTTTGATAAAATCACCTTCATGCAACTGTAGGGGGTGTAGTCTGTTCGCTTGCCTTCTTTGCCAAACATGTGGCGGATGCTGTAGGCATATGCTTTGTCAAACTATGGAGAGAGACAGAGAGAGAGAGAAAGAGAGAGAGAGAGTGGGGGGGAAGAGGAAGAGAAGGCATTAGTGAGGATGAGAGTGTAAGAGGGACAAGGTTGGGGTGAAAAGAGACATTGTCATACATCATGTCAGTTTTGACAGGGTGTTTTCTTCAATGAAATATAGAGCAATTAGAGAGGACCTGCTGTAGAGGTGTCGCTACACTTGAGATAGCTGAATTACGGATACTGTAATGTGGCCATCTTTCTCAGTGCTTTCTGCCCCTTGTCCTGAAGAGGGCTTTCATACGATATGAAGAGTATGTTTTAAATCAAGGAATTCGTGTAGGAATACCAACACAAAGTACGACTATTAGGCGCAACGTTCACAGCATTCCTACCGACATATATTGCACTTCTTGACTAGAAATGTACTATATGAGATCCATTTATGTGGAATATCTCAGGTGTTAGCAGATCCACCAAACAGACATTTTCCATTTAAACTTCTGAGATAACACTATACAGATTGTTTGTTTGATTCTTTGTTTTTGTCCTATAAGACAGTTGTTCTGGATATTTAGGACATGTTGAACAAGACATGATTTTCTGTTTTACATTGTGACAGGCATGTAATATAATTATAACATTTTAGAGATTCAAAATATAATCTAGAAGAATAATTGATAGTTAAAATAATCATATTTTGCAGCCACAGACTTTTATATAATATGTATTCAGATGTGAACAAAAAACATTTTAATTATCCACATGCTGAATAGATTTTTTCTGCCATGTTTTTGATTTACAGCGATTAACTCCAAAGTATTAGTGGCCATCGAGTGTATTATCCGGCTGCATTTACAATCTGACAAAAATAAACTTTGCTTATTTTTATCAAATATTCCCACGACGCACCGCTTTGCTGTTTAAATTCAGTCAAATGCCAAAACTTCTTAAATATATATCTGGGGAAAATCTATAACCTCCCAAGAAGTAAAAACATCAAAGTCAAGGACACGGGTCTACTGTATAAATAAACTTTCATGTGTCAGACTTCTGGAAGCCTTTGCATCATCTTCTATCCAGTTTCAAGCCAAAAAGCTGCTTCATATTTTTTGATGGGGGTCATTTTACACAATCTTCGCGGTGAACTCCTTTTTTTTATTGTACAGTAATTCTGTGCGGTCATTAAAATCCATTACAGTGACCCTGCCTCTAAAAACCAAAACAGTAAAATACACACAGAGTGCTCCGACAGTGGCGGAACACAATCACCATGACTGCACCCATCATAACGCATTAATGCTGCGATAAAACCTTTGAACTTGCTAATGTGACAAGCTGCAGTGGCAATTTAAAAACCCATAAAATCTTCTTTAAGCACAATAAATCAAATATTAATTATGTAGAGCTTCTAAGGATTCAAAAGGGCAATTTCCTGATTTAAGATTCCATTAAAAACAAAATGTGGAACTCCACCGGCACTAAAGTGTGTTTAATATGTATTATGTGAAATAATTTGAACATAAAAAAAAGGTCCTATGTGGTCTAAAAAGTGATATAAAGACTTCATGATAATATGATATTAAACTTTCAATTGGTCCATGCAAAACTGGGGTTAAAGTAGATTACAAAACAGCCTTCCTTCATATACCAGGATTAACTATCTTTAAAGCTTCAATGATAAAACTGTGTAACAACAGATGACATTTTTTAAAGACGGCATTCAGATTCCGTTTCAAGCAGATGCTGCACAGTGCAGCTTGTTCTTAACTTGTCCCATGAATGACCCTCCTCTAATACATCTACTCGGTTTCCTCTAATTGCCAACCGTGTTGCTACACTTCAACCTACACTTCAGATAATCCTGGATAAACCCTTATACAGCTGACCCTGAATTCACAAAATCACAGCGGAGAGACTAAACACATGCACAGAAGATGCATTAAAGGAGCTGAGCCGCATCTCTTCCAGTGCACATCTTGGCTCGTGGGGCTACAACAGTGTAACATCCCCCCACACTCTAGGACACATTCACAAAAACCTGCGGCAATGGAGACAGAGAAATAGGACACAATCAAAGGGATTACGTATGTGTGTGCATGTGTGTGTGTGCAAACTTGGCATGGCTTCTTAGGCTCAGTCCATAGTGACTGATGTGCCTGTAGCTCCAATCCCTCTTATGTGTAATACCATTAAAGTCCTTCGCGTTTTAATCTGCACAACAGGCCTTTTCACACTGTAAGAACAATGCAAGGTGAGGAGCTAGAAAATGCTATAAGTGCACACAAGTTAAGAAGTTTGATGTTGCAGAGAGAAGACACATCGCTTTTTAAAAAGGTCATTTACACACAAGTGGGGTTTAAACTAAAAGGCAATGGAATAAATTAAAGCTGCAAAGTCGCTAAAACACTACTAAAGCCTGCTGCAAGCTCCTAAGGCTGCACTGTCAGAGCTAGTAAAAGAGCCTATTAGAACAACAGAATTTACATCCTAATGATTTCGTTTTCTGCATCCATATTTACAAAATTAGAACCTAACTTCTGTAGTTGAGCCATCTGGCAAGGAAAGGTGAATGTTTCCTATCGTGTTTTTGTAAATCAAAAGCAGCAGGGGGACTGAAATCAGCTGATAGATTAGCTGAGTTAAACAAAAACCATAAATTATAATGACAACTTAATGTTTCAGGTAATGCATTGGCCTTTTTTTTTTAAATCAAAGCCATTGTGACATGCCATAGGTGTAAATAAAAAAAAAACACAATAATACTGGGTGAATTTATTTAGCTGCTTCCGTTGTGTGTTTGTTCATGCTGAGTCATGGCTGATTAGAATGCTTTAACAGAACGGAGCCATTGTGTTATTAGCAGCTACTATGTCAGGTCAAAACATCGAGTGTCATAAGGACCTATTGTAGGTACTCCACCTCTACTCAATCTGTATGGATGACACCATGACAGAGATACTTGAGCCTATATTCCTTTTTTTTCTTCTTCTTTTAAATTCCTGACAGACACTGTAAATCTAAGCTTTAAAGAATTCTGACCAATACAAATGCCACTGGATAGGTGCAATTATCCAAACCTCTTGTTTTCAACCATTTATATCAGATACCACAACGCACTAGCCAATATCCTGTAAATGTACGGACTGGAATCATGTATGCAAATTGTTGAAATGTTTTCTCAGAACCCCCGTGATTATCTAATTACAGTGAAATCCTGGCAAAGCGCGTGTACACCTGACGGCACCAGGAGAGCGATGCTGAAACACATCAGCCCTAAACTGAAACAGGCAATGATTCAGTTGTTAAACCTTGCACCCCAGACAGGTAGCTTTTCCTGAGATCTGGAGCTTGTGGATTATTTCCCCAATCTATAAGAGTGGAGATAAATTAGACCCCAACAAGGGCAGAGACATTTGTGTGAGCAGTAATCTGAGGAAAGTTTTTCAAAGCATTATCAATGGTGGCCTTCTTTATGGAACACAAGTCCCAGAGTAAAGGGCTAATTGGCTTTTTACTGAATCACCGTACTGCTGACCACGTTTACACTCTACAAACACACAAATTAATCATCACATGCACCAAAAACAAGGGTACATCTTCTGTATGGTTTATTGATCATAAAAAGGCTTTTGATTCAGTTTGACAAGCAGGACTCAATTAGAAATTTCTTCATATCAGCACAGAGGATAAAACTCTCTACATAATTAAGTCGTCGTATGACAACAATAAATGTGGCATAAAAAAAAAAACAACAACAAAAAAACGACGGATCTCTTCGCCCAAGCGTGGGGCACAGCGATGGATTATCACCAGTTCTATTTCATATCTACATCTCATTAAAAATCAAACCAAAACACTGCTATCTGACCCTAAACTATGATTAGAAATTGGCAGAATATCTCTCGGCTGTCAGAGATACAAAGACAAGAACAAACAGACTGTAGCTCCACAGAAAGGCCAGCACAAGAAGCTTCCAACCGAGTCTGTGGTCGCTGCATGACAGGTGAGGTAGAGACGGAGATAAACTTCCTCTTAAAATATGACGAATGCATTGATTTGAGACAGGAATACTTAAAAAGTTTAAGCTGGCAACCCCAAACTTCACCGAACTACACGATGACGAAATTCTGGTAGGAGAACGGCATGCAGCAGCAATGTGTGACAAACTGAGGGATACATAATTAAAACACATCACTGAATATGAGAAGTAGGTTGACACAGCCTATTATACAGCACACACACATACACACACACACACGCACTTAGTGTTTTCTCCACTGTCTTGCGATTTTCTGTACTCCACCTAATAAATTTTTCTTTTTTTCTTATTAACTTTCTCACCTCATGCTTTTTTTTGGAATTACACCATCCATTATGCTTCCACAATATTGTTAACCTGATGTTAATGCCAATAAAGCGTGTTGAAATGAAATTGAAATAGTAGTAGCATTATTCTGCAAGCAACTCATCAAGACAAAACCTCTCTTTGATTTTATAGGTTATAGGAGTCCTAATGGATTTCTGCATCCTGGCCTGAGTATTGAGTTGAACATTATTGTCTTCTATTTTTCAGACTTTCTAAATAGGATGGCGGAGGGGGAAAAAAACTAATTTCATACAAGATAGCAACAAAAAGGATCCTTTCAAATGTACGGTTACCAGCAGCAACACAACAGCGTACATTTGTGTCCAATCTCTTAGAGCAGTTAATGTAAAGTGTCATCTAATGACTCTTTCGTTGTTCCAATTATAATGTGAAAAACTGCGTCAGTTAGCGGGAATTAATTAACCTGAAGTTAACATCCTTAAAACAAGTGCTTCAAAAGCAGTCCTGCCCTGAGGCAATACAACCAACTAAAACGTGGTACAAACAGACATCCTCCAAATGAATAGGCTAACTTCTGTGGCAAGAAAAATGGATAGATCAAGTTGATTTTATCAATTTTCTCTCCCTCTAGTCTAATATTACATTGCCTCTTCCTCCAGGCCTCCCTTTCGGCATCGCTGCCTCCCATCTTTTTCTCGGTGCCTGTCGCATACTAATGAGCAGGCTTTGTGCAGCCTGCCACAAAGTGCAGTCCCTGACACAACACATACATCACAGTGAGAGCTGCGATCTGGTCAGCACCATTCTGCTGCCTCTGCTGTGGAACAAGAGCTGGGCTTTGTGCAGAGCCCATCACACTTTCTCTGGGAGCTTGTACATGGGAAGCAAGCCACCTCAGAAATGGGGCACCAAAGAGAGCTGTAACATGAACTCCCAGTGTGCTGTGGTAGCCACGAGGCTCTTACTGAGGGCCAATAACAGATGCTATGATAGGATGGAGTGAAAGCAGAAAAGATGGACGCTGTTGTATTCCTCTAAACACGAGCTTTAACAGGTGTCAGTGGCAGTTATTGTGTTTTTGTAGCAACACAAAAAAATAATGGGAATTCTCTGAGTGGCCAAGTGAAAATACTTTTTGTAATGTCTGCGTACAAAAAAAAAACAACCCTCTTACTGAATTAAATCTTTAGGAGGGAAGAAAAACTAAAATAAAAATATCCACCCTGGCTTCTAACATAGTCTGCTGCATGCAAAAATATTTCAAAGAGTACACAAAAAATATTTGTTTATGGGGCGCTGCTATAGCTCACCTGGTTGAGCTGGCATCCCATGTACAGAGCTATAGTTCCAATGTGGAGGTCATGAGTTCGAATCCCGCTCATGGCCCTTTCCCACACATCCTCCCCCTACTGTTCTCCCCTACTTTCCTGTCTCTGTCTCACTGCTCTATCAAATAAAGGCACAAGGCCAAAAAAATATATATATATTTGTTTACTTCATCTCACATTACCAAAGCAACCTTATGAGTTCTCTGTATTGTTAGTCCTACCAGGACTTACCCTGTTTTAGATACAGGGGCTTATTGCAATTTATAAATCAGTTTAATATCAGTTTAATAATTGTTTTTTACAAGACCAAGCAGAAAATATTAATGTGTCTGCGATGTGACTACACATGAATATTTTCTGATTATAATATAATTAACTAACTAAACTAACTTAATAACTAATATAACAAATGAACTCACTAATTTTTGGAGCTTACAACACAAAATTGCACATTTCTCAATTTACATGACTAATCTACAAGACAAGTCTGTCTCATAGACTGTAATTTACTCAATTTAGGAGATTCTTAGATACACTAAGTGTTTCTTCAAACTTTTTTCTTAACAGATTGCGCTGACATGCAGACTCCACATGTGCACAGCAAAATGAGCAAGGTACATGTTGGAAACACTGAAAAGGAAGATGTGGCTGCAATAAGAAACAAAACATTAGCTATATGGAAATATTTCAGCTACGGAAAGGGTGATGTCGACCAAAAAACAGGTCTTCTGTCAGCAGTGTTACAATCATCTCCACTACATAAGGCATCACGACCATTTATTTAAATGTTCTATGCAGATGCACTCCCCGACAGAGCCATATGATTATTTCTCTCCAAATGGTGTCATTCAAGTCATCTGGAGAAAATCCCAGCATTTTTTTTAGAACAAAATAAATATTTCAGAAAAACAAAATATTTTTCCAATATCACACAATCTTAATATTTAGTGCCAAATCAAAACATTTCTTACATTTGACTGAAATTTGGTGTTTTGGAGGCATTTCATTCTTATCAGGCTTTTAATCTCTAAGCTTCCCACAATGACCTCTACAGCACAACATTTCTGCATCTGTTTAATTACATTTATACATCAGACTTTCTAAAACTCCTAATATTAAGAAGTGGTAATGCCAAACCCCTGTATTTATTTTTATTCACACCGTGTTCGCTGAGGATTTGGCCATGTCTTTGTGATTTAAAATCCTTGCTGCTCACATCAGTACTGCATCAATTTAGGCCACACCTGCCTTTAACCAGTTGCATATTAGCTCACTATTCCTCCCAATTTTACAAAGCTGCTCTTCTGCACTCAGTAAAGAGACGTGAACAGCCGTACAGTGTCAAAATAGCTTTTTTTTTTTTTTACATAGCAAACACGAGAGACTGAGGTTCAAGATATTCCCATGGGCCTGCTGAACACTTTGTCTGGCTGATGCAAAACATGACCTAGACTGGAAAGAGTGTCGGCTACCTGGAGTATCATGGCAGGGATGCCAACAGTGTGATCTGCTACAAATCATTATTCAAAGACAACATGGCTCGGGGATCAAGGACCATCCATACGTATTGCTGTGCTAGACTGCTGCTTCATGTGTCTGTTCAGCACAATGATTTCTTGGCACTCAATATGCACCCTATTAATACTGTACCTAATGATGAGCACTCAAAATGCAAATGACATGTACATGAATGTTTATCACTGTGGATCAGATTCACTGCATTTCCTGTATCTCTTGAGCTTTTAGCTATAAAATGTACATTATTATGATATGTAAACATGTCAAAACAACTCACTATCAAGTAGTCTTCCCACGGTCTTCCTTTTTGGTTTTTGTGCAAATATTTTGTCAATTATTCTTGTGGTCTATAAAACACCAGTGTGAACTGTGAGAAAATGCCCACCACAATTACCTTGAGCTCAGGGTGCTGTTGTTTTTTTGTCCAGCTGAGACTCCAAACCTCAAATAAATTCAGCTTTTTAGAGATGAGGAGAGGCAGTAAATTCTCACATTTAGGAGCCTAACATCAGCAAGTAGTTGTCAGTCTGGCTTGAAAAGTGGCTTAAGCAATTGATCAATTATCACAGTAGCTGATTAATTTTCAGTCAATTGTCAATTAATTGGCTAATCAGCTCTATTGTCAAGTGCTGAGAGCTGGGGCTGAGCAACAAACAGTATAATGATCCGTAACAGTCACGTCAAGCAAGTGATGCTGGTATCAGAAGTAAAAAAATATATACATACTGAAAGGTTTGGCAGAGGAAAGCACATCCAACCTGATAAAACTGGAGCCAAAAGTCATAGTTTGTAACCTCAACATACTGTGTGTGTGTGACTCTTCAGCCTTTACTGCTAGATACCACAAAACAGAAAACAGCTCCATTTATGTTTGATGAACTTTTAAGAGTTTCTTGTAAGAGAGCATGATATCTCAACAAGAAATTCCTAAGTGGTTTCGCTGAAGACAGGGCATAAAAAAAACTAGTCAAAAACCACAGTGAAGTCTGAATGAGCCATATCTCACTTCTAAGATAAGCCAGGCAAGGCAAGACGTACAGGGTGTTCTAGGAGTCTTTAGTGATACTGTACAGCCATTTCTGAAAAAGAAAGTCAACACAACCCCAGCAATTATCCATTTAACAGGCAGGTATTTTCTTATAAGGCCAATAAGTAAATGCATTAACATTTGCATAACCGGACTTTTGACCCGTATGTGCAACCCAAGCTGAGTCAGACACACTATGTCGAACATATCTGCAGCCATCTAATGACTTAACTAAGGAAACAAAACCTAAAGCTGTAGCTGCTGATGTAAGAAACAACACAACCATGTCAGAGCAGATTTTTTTTTACAAGCAAGTATAGACTTGTTTCTAATAAATGCATATTTAAAGCATTACAACAAGCATTGAACAGCATAATTAATTTCTACTTTATTGCACAGCATGAAATTCTATTTGTTCTATCTAAAGCATTCCATTATGTGTAATCTCCTGCCACTACTGTCTCTTATTCACATAAAGAGTAGGGCTTCTCTTCATGCAGAACACATTTAATGCATTTGGTGCGTCTCTCTCTCTCCCATTGAGAGATATAATAAGTGAACTCATAACCACTTGAGCCTTCATTAGCCTTATCAAAATACTGCACGAACATAAGTACAAAAGTAAACTTTCTTTCAATCCGTACAGCTTTGAAGGGGCCACTTCAACACCAATAAAACAGCACCAGCCATTTAGGTGCTGAATAGCACTCTGGAGAATCGAAGGTGTTCAGAAAAAAATAAACAGGAAAAAGAAAATATGAGTATTTGAATAAGGCCATTATATTTTGGCAATAAAGCTGGCTGATGTGTCAAAACTTGTTTTTTTATCGCTAACCTGAGTTATTGCATAATGGAGGCTTTGTGTTCTTTTTTAATTTTGTTTTTTTTTTGTTATTGTTGCTGTCTATGATCTTATTATAACAATATATCCCACAAGTCAATCACCTTGCTAGTTGCTGCTGGTTGCAGTGTTGTTTGGGTGAACAACGCAAATCAATTCAGCATTTAACAGAAAAGTGGTCAAAATTGACTGCAACATAAATCTAAAAAAAGATTTAAAAGTAATCAGATATTGTCAGCATTACCTTATCAGCATCCACTTTGCCTCTTATGAACTCAGACCTCCAGAACTGCAGAGCCTGCTCCAGAGAGAGGCCGATACCTTTGAGGAAGAGGCCGTACTGCATCCGACCACCGTGGCGGAGGTGGTGGTTCTCTCTGAGGTTCTGGTGGAGCTGCCTCATACACAGTGGGAATGACTTTCCTGAAAGCTAGAGGCAGTCAAGTCTTAATTACTAACATCAAGTGCAGCACAATATACTTAATCTGTGCCAACATGCACTATTTTGATTTTTACGGACGACATGCTAAGCTTCACGTGACATTATAATTATCTAGTGGTGCTAAATGTATTTTCTATTTATTCCTCAGGGCCGCCAGAATTTCTAAACAAATCTCATTCCTTCCCTTTTACGCTACCAATTTCCAAGCAAAAGGTGCTTGAAGCTGACATTTCCAGAATAGATGGTCAATGCAACTTACTGAGTCGATTTGCTCCAAGGAGATTTTTCCAACATTCTTCTGGATGCTGTAATCCTGTCCCACATACGCATGGCTAAAAGAAGAAATCGGGAAAACATTAAGTCTATGACAAATAAGATTGTTTTTCTGAAGCTATCTTCATGCAATTTTAAAAGCAAACAGGGCTGCCATGAAAACTGATTACGGCTTAAAAAAACATATGGTTAGGACCCATTGATGACACTTTAACTTAGTGTAATAAAAGGGTTAGGGTTCAATGTATTGTGATACATCAACTGTAATCTCCTGCTACACCAATTTAACACTGCTAAGCTGCAATCGGTCGATTTTTCACATTGGCAAACCCAAGGAGTCCAAAGTGGGAGTACATTATACCACATTGTGCTCCTCCTACCATTAAGATTAGTGACCTGCCCACTAATCTTGACAACCTACCCACTAATCCCCAACAACAATCAGGCATCATCGCTTCTTCCAGCCCTATATTCGTGTTTTATTTTATCTCGAGCTAAATAACCACCCGAGCTATTTTCTGAGCTACTCTCCACAGATACTGAAGCTGCAATGCAGTCTGCTATCTCGAAGAAACTTTTAAAGCAACCGTCTATTGTTGCCGTTTCACATTACAACGACTTCCTTAGTGAATGTGTCAAAAGCTTTTAGTAGGGTGTACAGACTCAGGGATTAGCAGAGCGAGAATTTATTTATTTTTTAAAGGTGGTTGTGTTGGTAGATACAAGTAGTTCTGACATTTAAAAACTCAATCAAATAATTCAATTGGATGGCTGCCCATAATTTTTTGTCTATAAAGTAATTAATCAGCTTTGTAGCGGCTCTACACTGTGTATTCCATTATGTTGTTCATGAGTTGCCATTTATTAGCCTCTTATGACTCCATCTAGTAATCCGGTCCAAACTACGACTTCCATCAGTACCCACCAATATATCCCCAATTCAGCATATGAAATCTAGAAGAAACGATGTACCCGCCTAATTACTTTAACAACAGCGGTAGATGATGCTGCTATGGCACAAAAAGTTTGTACAACATGTGGACTTGTCTTCAGGGACAAGGTGGGTTGACTGAGACCAGCCACAAGCCTCCAGTGTTTTTTGGTGCCAAAGATCAATCCTGTCAGACCTCTTTTTCAACAGAGTCCTGACAAAATGGCAGCAAAGTTATCAATCCTGCTGCTTACCTGAGGTGGTTAAGGAGCGGTTGGAGCCGTTCATCAGAATGCACGGCCGGTAGCGAGCGAGCTGTCAGCTGCAGAAGAGATGGGCATCACATGACTAATGGCAAATAGTCTAGGTCAAAGGATTAGAACAGCCTAACGCTGCAGGATGAATTACAAAACAAGGGAAATACATGGCATGGCAGTTAACTTGAACAGGTTGGCCTAAGTGCATCTGATATTTAAAGTTTAAAAAAAAACAAAGGTAAATAATTGTCCACTTGACAAATCCTGCAAAAGCTGTGAGGTTTGTGATTGAGCAAATAATTTACACGTCATGTCACCATCCTAAAACATCTGTAATATATGAAAAGGGTGATTTCCTACAACCCCAGTCTACTCCCAACATTTCTACGTTTTCGTGCGCTGCCTCAGTCTGTTCGCAAAAAAGCTTTACATAGCCCAATTGCTTCATAAGCTCAACTCTAATTAGAGACACTCTTAACCAATCAAAGTCTGCCTGACATGAACACCTACAACATCGTGAGATACTGTATTCAGTTTGTCACAATGAATGTCAGACCAATAACTGGAGTCATGTGGAGAGGCAGCTTTCAATTTCATACCTTTTTAATGACACATTTCCTGTGATACCCGTTGCTGTCCCCAGTGAAAGGAAATAACCATTATAGTAACACAATGGCACCGTTACAAGAAAAATAGCTTTGAAGAATTTTTTCATTCCAACAGTTAGTGGTCCGGATAATTACCTGGAAATGGGAGAACTGCACAACCGGACCGAGTTGTTGTTTTTATTTGTGTTATGGTTTTTCTTTTTTAATTTGGAAAGGCTGGCCCAGACTGTTCCATGACAGAGAACATGTGTTCGTAATACGGCAAATCATGTACATCTTGCTAAAATTGGTTCCTTCCTATGTGAACACCACCACACAACACTGCGTCTAATCGTGATTGGGGACTAGAATCTGCAGCTGATGTTGTTTTCAAAGTGAAGCCCTTCGAGGATTTTTTTGGCTGAACAACACATAATAAACTTCTTTCTGAGAAATATGAAACACATCACCAGAAGAGCAGGTGAAGGCTTAGTACCCTAGTTGCTCTGCATGCAACCAGGGATTAGCAAGCTACATCTAAAACCGCTCTCCGAAAGCACAGTCCTATAATTCAGGTAATCACACAATTCAATTTACCAGAAGTGAGTTTTAGATGAGTAGTTCAAATTGCCAATAAGCATTTTAGATCACTGGCTAAGTGGAGCCTACTCTTTGTCATGAACACGAGCATTACCTGAAAATCCGCTGATTGAAAGCGACAACTCGGTTAAACACAAGTCGCAGACAACAAAACGCTACCACTGAACAAAAATGGATCTTTGTTTGAACTGCCAGAGAATTTTCTATGCACAAAGCAATGAACTAACAGATTCGAGACAGACTCAGACAGCTGCCTCTGCTGTCTTTTCTGACTGAGTGCTTTTAGTTGTGTTTACAACACGCTAGAATAGTGCATAAACAGAAGGAACCTTGACGACGTATTGCAAAACACTCTGTGAAATACTCACATGTGTTTTTATGAGCATTCACACAAAACCAGTATGAAATGCTGACACGTATTTTGTCATTAATGACAACATACTGCATGTGAAAATGCTAATGAAATAAGCATGGAGACTGGGCTTCACTTGAGGATAAATAAAAACGTGAGCTCTGATTTAAGCACATGCATGACCACTGCTTAAGTCAATACCAACGAGTGAAACATCTTAATCACACGGTTTTAAAAGGTGATACACTTTAAGGCTGTTTTCAGTTTCATGTCTACAATGGCAGTCATGTGTAAGAATCCTCAGCTCTAATGATGCACACTTGTATTTGTCTGCCCTTCAAACTTTCCTTATCATTGAACAGAATTGTGTCTTTAGAGTTTATGAATCAACAGGATCATTTATCTTTGCTGTGCTTTTGCAGTCAGTGCTGCTTGATTAGGATATGAGCAGTGAAGTTTCAGTACTTTTATGGATGATTAAATTGATCCTTGGTCACTCTGTGTGGACATATAACAGCAAAGGGGCCCATTTTCAGCAAAACGAGGACCCAATTATGAAAACAATGGCGCCTTCATATTGATCCAATATTTACTCCAACATGCTGCACAAATACAAAAGTATAGTGTAATTTACTTTAGACACCTATGGATACTTTTTATTTCCTTTTACCTTTGCAATTTCCTGGGCCGGTCTGCTGATGGATCAACAACACTAGGTGATACTTGCTCTATAATTGTTAACCATGCGCTTGTTCTGAACTTAATTTTCCAGAACAAACAAACAAACAAACACAACTACAATTACTTCAGGTATCCAATTTCCACACAATGCTGGCTGATAAATTAAAATCTACATAAACTCTGATTAAAAAGGTTGCAATTCCAATCAGAACAGTGGTGATTTGCCAGTCTTTATACTGGCATATTTTATTGTTTCCTCTCTTTGTAAGTCAACTAATTAATAGATCAAGTCTCTTTATAAATCATACACTGCCACTGCCTTTGGTTGTTGATCATGTTTGTGCCTGTTTCCAAGTCTGGACTCCTCACTGCAATGGAACTGAACTTTGGTTGTCTCCTCACATATATTATACAGATTGCCTCTGGTTCCCAAACATTGCATTTCATATCCCTCGGGGCATTCCATGCAACACACAAGCATTGTGATAATGCGCCGTCACAGGCACCCTCCAATGGCCTAAAAAAAACATCATGCCTGTAGGGACAATAAGCACTTTCCTACTAGTTGTCTCCAATCTTTCCTCCAGACATTTTATGTCATGTGTGCATACTTATTCCCCTCATCTGAACCTTGCATTTCTACGGATTCCCCCTCAGGGCTGTGAAGGCAACAGCAATTTAACAATTTGCCTTATGGAACCAGGCTTTTCTGTCTACATAAAATGCATGTAAATAAAGTACATGGGCAAAGTAAAAACGTCTGGACGCTACGGTACAAAGTGAAGGTGTGTTGAGGTGAGTTAGACGGGTGTTGATTGAACTCTATTGTACTTTTTAAGGTCAGAGTTGTTGGTATTGTATTGCATAGCATTACACTTTAATGCTGATGACTGATTTAATTCCTGAAAATACATGTACTATAAACACTTACTGCAAGAGCTTTAGACAGCCTGGTGCGGAAATCATTGAGGACAATGGTGACAATATCCTGTTGAGGGATGTACACGTAGCCTGCTTTGAGGTACACTTTCCTTGCCCTCACTAGATCCAGGGCATCTTGAAATGGAACCTTCAAAAAAAGAAAAAATAGAGATTGAGAGGAAAATTAAATAACTACTACATTCAAAAGATATGCATAAGCTTTAAAATGTGATCCAGATTGTACACTTATTCTAGTGATGTTCAGTAAAGCAAATGGGACGATTTACATGTCCCAATGAAGTGTATGCTATGATATTTCACTGTTTCATTTTCATTTTGTGAATGTAATCAGAATTTAAAGTTAAAGGTCATGATGGTGATTCGTTCAGATTTGTCCACCATGTAAACGTGATTGAAAAACACAATGTCAATGCATTCCTTTAGTAGTAAGGCAAGACACAAAGACGTCGAGTCGTAATTCTGCATTTGGAAGAACATGAAGTCTCCAATAAGTTGACTTAAACTGCCTCAGGGAGGAATACTTGCTCATTTATTTGATATCATAAGATGGCCTGTCTCTATCTGACAAGATATTGGCCCCGAAGGTAGGGGAGTTGAAGAAATAAAATAGAACTAAGCAGACATATCTGAGTTTTTCTCCGATGTAATAAATGTTCTATTTTTACAAAGAGTTCACAGTTCGCTGCCCTGCCTTGCTGGTACTCTTGGGCAGGTTGCGATTACACAATATGGATGACAGTAATGAGAAAGCCGGAGTGGTATTTAGTCCTGAGGCTAACATTGGACAAAAGGAAGACGTTACCACCATAAATCCAGTTTTATGGATTTGCATTCCTTTTCTTGTAAAAAGGATGTAATTTTTCCACACAGCCTACTTTACACTATAAGCTATTACAGATGCTTAACGTATGATATATGTTGTTAAATGCAGAGGTGGTTGATACTTTAGAATACGTCTAAATGGAAACCGATCTACGTAGACAGAGAGTTCAAGCTGTCATCATACTTGTTTTACATTCATTTTTAATGACCTTAAAGCATTGCACTTCAAAACATGAAAAAAAACAATGGCATCTTGTTTAGATGTCTTGCTTTGGTGACTTATATTCACTGTTTGGGAACGACAGGAATGCAAACTGTAACCCAATACTGTATATGAAAAACATGTGTTGTGGAAGCATAAAGGAAAGAAATGATTAACTCACTTTGTAGAAGTCCTGATCCTCCACCTTGATTCCACTGCCACCGTAGCTGGAGTGGACAAGTTTTCCCGACAGAGCCTTCTTCTCCTCGGCGCTAATCTGAAAAGTTTTTGATGAGTTTTAGTGACAAGCTGCAAAAGCTGAACTGTGTCAGTGTTAATATAATAAAGGTTGTCACTCATGAAAACCAAACGCCCTTCATAAAATGATAGCACTGTCTTTGTTCTTGTTTGACACGTGTTGATGAATTTATAAAGAGACTATTAAATGTTTTGATTTTTTTTCTAGGTATTCATGTATATTATTTATGTAATTATTTCATTAAAACCTAGTGTACAGCTTTATTTATTATCTCTGAAATACCCTGCGCTAACAACTACATTTTTACAAAAATAAAAAAAACTGAGAAACTTTTTAAATTAGCGTTCAAGGGAATCCTTAATGTTCATGGGTCCTATTAAAGTGATCAAACAGCTCCATCTAGTGAAAATACAACTGAACTCCACTGTGGTGCAAATGCTTATATTCACTGTAATATATATCAGTAAGTTGTCAATTCATTTTTTTTTTCTTTCTTCCTCCTTATTTATGTTTTCTTTTCCTAATATCTAGTAACACACAGGTTTTCGTGTCAATCAAACATATTGGTAAATTATTGTACAAGGTCCTACAAAACAGGAAAAAGCACTCACTGTACAGTATTTGTCATTTGTGACATTAATGAATATTATTTTTGCTGACATAAAACCCAAGCTCTGCTTATTACCAAAAAGGTTAAGTTTAGCTTTGAAGGTCAGCATTAAAATGCATAATGTTTATATTAGTCAAGTTTTTTTTTTTTTTTAAGCACATTCAAAACAACCAAAGAGTGAAACAAAAGTGCTGTACAATTATAAATGGCATCCCATAAGACACAAACACATTGACTGAAAGACACATCTGCATAAAAATACAATGAAATAAAGAAAAATAAAAGATACAACACAATAAAAGATGAAGCCAGGACATCAAACGTCTATAGATTAGTCTATATGCCTTTATTTCCCCTAACAAGGTTTTCAAAAACTTACTGCGTGATACTGAAGATTATTCTTTTGAAGAAGTTCAAGCTTTTGTTCCGGAGGCAGGTCAGTGAAACGGTAGCGGAAAAGATCAACTTCCTGTTGAATAAACCAGCGCCTCAGATCTTCCCTTTAAGATACCAATAAAAAATAAACATTTATCAGGTGCATTTAGACGATTTGCATTTTAACCCCATTTTTCTGTGTTTTAAAATAAAAAACTTACGTTTGGCAGTAGGCAAGTCGGAGAATGAAGTGGGAGATATGGTCCTTTCTTCGCTTCTCGTGTTCACTTGGTCCAGTCTGAGATTTTCTGTCCTCCTTAGTGAGTTCAGAAACATGCAGTATTTTTAATAGCATATTCATTCTGTTACTCATTTCTTAACTTATTGTCAATTTGGGTAGAATTAAAATATCCAATAAATGTCTGATTTTTAAGGTGACATTTGAGACGTAAGAAAGTATCACCTGCTGTTTGTTTGTTTTGTAAACTACAGTCCTGTTGACAACACCTGTACGTCATTCCCCATTAATTTTGATATTTGTAATTCAGCTTTAATTGGCAATCAATTATCCAGTCTTGTGCTCACTTCTTCTGTATCTGTGATCTCTTCTTTTATGTTTTGATCCCATTATTCACACACAGTAAAAAGTAGGTGTTGGCATTTTCATGTATTTCTATGTTGGCTGTTAGTCGCCTGCACAATACTAAAATAATTTGAGTTTCAAAATGATAATAAATCAGCCAATTCACTTGGTTCGTAACAGCCAGTTATATCACAGGCCAATACATCTTTATTTTCCCTGTAAATCAAGTTTAATTACTCTTATCTTCACTAGCAATCCATATTAACACTATTTAAAGCATCCTTTTAAAAAAAGAGAATTTCCCACAGTAAATGAAGACACTGGTTTCTTCTAGTCTGCATCTCTGGTGCTGTTAATGTCTCTGACCTTCCAGTCGTGCTATCACAAAAACATCCCCACCTTTAACGTCATAAAAGCCAATGGTGTACATCAAGCTATGTACATAGTGACAAGCTGAGGGTGTATACACACAGTTGCCAGTTTATTGGAGACAAGTAGCTGGGAGTCATTTTAAAGCAGCCACTCGCACAGAGGAGTTACACAACAGCTTGTTCCCAAACCCCACATGAAAACCCCCACCTTGGAAATAGCTATGGAGAAGTCACTTTGTGATAAAGCTTTAAGGGTGGTGTTTAATCCTACAGTAAATGCAATGAATGCAGCACTGCTAAGTATTAAAATTGTGTTCATTTCTTGTAACTCTGAGCATACTCACAGTTTCCGATTTGTAGGGAAAGTTCAGGTTTTTCAACTCATGGTGCAGTTTGTTGTTGTATTGCTCTGACAGTTTCACATAGCTCACTCCCAAATTCTCAACGCTCTTCAACACTGCAGGGGCATTAAAAGGAAAGTTTTAGAATTGAACACGTCTTCAAAACATGTTAAAATCCATGTCAGTGCAACATGAGAGCACAATGCTAATAGTAGATTTCAGATCACTTGAGTAGTGTGAGACCGCAATCTTACATTTCAGTCTTTCCACAGCAAATGTCTCAAACTCAGAGAGAGAGATGTTTTCAAGTGGAGGCTGTCCATAGAACTGCACAAGCTGCCCATAGATCTCCGTCTGAGAGTGAGGGCCAAGCTTCTTTTGTCTGCTGATGAACTGCATGGTGCCTGATGGGAAAAGAAATCCAGGATGTTTAATGTACTGACAGATAGCAGGCCAGTGGTCATCAGCCTGCTATACCAGGTGTAACTACAAGTTTTAATTCTAATTTATTCATTCAGCCATTAAACTCACAGTACATTAAGGTATGGAGGGTCCATGTATAATGTGACCAAGAAAGAAAGCAAAAAGGTGTAGGCTCACAAATAATAAACATAGATAACATTAACAATAAAATATCATTGAGCAAAGTTAGTTAAATATGAGAAGTGTATTTAAGAAGAGCAGCTGAAAGTAAAATAGAAAAAAAGTCTGAGTTGATCCACGGATAAAATTGAGTCAAGGTTTAGAATGTTTTGCATCTTATTCCAGGTTTCAGGAGTAGAATAGTGAGTAAAACTGGATTTTCCAAGCTCAGTAAAAACGGTCGGCATCTGCAAAGTAATCCAATCATTTCAGTGTGTGTGGTAGGGACCCACATTAAAAGATAGCAATACGGTAATGTAAGGAGGATAGAAAAAATTCAGAGAGGAAGGGCCACCCAACCTCAGCATACAGCTCACATTAATGAGCATTTTGAGAATGCACACACCCTGAGATATAGACCAGTGAGAACGTCAGTAAATATTTATGTGAAAGTAAATAAGTTGCACAACTCTTTTCCAATCCACCAAGCTTTACCAGGTACTGGCATTTGGGAAGTAAAACACTGTACACAAGAAGATCTATGTGACCAACTTAAATGTTTCTGGACTCTGTATCTGTACAACAACTAGGGATGCATTCACCCTGTTTGGTCTGCCAGGTCACAGGCTGTTGTGGATGACTTTATAAAAACTGCATCATCCATTGATTACTGCCCAGCCTCTGTCACCAGTGTTGTACCATTCAAATTGTGTAGACTTGGCATCTTGTACAACTTTATTTGGGATATGGGGAGCATATATTGCACCACAAGTGAATATACACCCACTGCTATTGAATACAGAAGCGAGATGAAAGAAAAAATATGCCGGAAGTATTTTCACTCTGTCAAAATATGCTTTTATCTGTTGTGACTTGTCTAAACAGCTGCCTTTACTCGCCCTGCAGACGGACAACGGAACTAACCGGATGTGGCTAGCTAAGGATTTGTTCTGTTATACTGGATTCAACAGACTTCATAAAACAAGTATTATTTCCCTAACAACACCTGTGAAGACTTCAGTTTAGCCCGTTACAGACAGACACTTTCGCTAAAGTTAACGATACTGTATTCTCATCAACAATACATATCCCAGCGTCACGTTAGCAGCCTCTACGTTGAGAAAGATGTTAGCTAACATGTAGCAGTCAACTGTGGAAACTGAGGTAAAGATGGTCGGGCTCAAAAGAAAACTTTAACACACGAGCAACTGGAGCAACATTAAAACTAGAATATTGTCCTTACCTTACCTATGCGTCGATAGAGATCCCGCCAAACAAAGTGGGCTGTTCAACAAACGCGGGTAAATGATGACGAAGTGGCCAACTCAGGAAGAGAAACGCCAGTGTAATAGGGTGCGCTCGTTTAGTTTTCCCTACCGACCCGTCTGTATTTCCCATTGATAATAGCCTCAACAAAAACATAACCCAAAACTTCCGATTTCGTATGAGCAAATATCAACCTGTCTCGTATCTATACGTATGCCATTCAAAATAGGTCACGGTTAGTACATTGTGTCTTTTAGGAGACTTGTTTTTCCCCGCCAATACTGGCATAACAAAAACTGACGGGAGCTTCTGGAGTACATACCAAGTGCACTCACAACATGTGGGTTCACCCATAGACTGAAAGACCAATAAGTAGCAGGTTTTATGCACTCTTTATTTAAGGAGATGCTTTCTGCAATTAATAATCAATATTAATGGAAATTGAAAAACTATTAACCGTATCATACGCTCCTAACACGGATACATATTCTTAATTCAAACAGCTCAGCAGGGACCTGTCAAAGATAGGCAGTAAGTATTTATAGGAATATCGAAAATATTCAATATTAAGGACATGTAGTTGATTATTGTAATGAAAGATATTCTTAAACTACTATGTTCCTCCTGTTATGTGGAAGCTATACCTTTACCTTATATTTGAAAGAAAAATGTTGCACTTTTACTTCCTAGTACTTAAAAATCAATATTCACCTGTTACATTTAAGATTAACATTTTTAACTAGAAAAACAAACAAAACAAACAAACAAAAAAACATAGTAAGCCTTTACAAGTCAATGCATTAATTCAGCTATATAAATTTGTTAATACTAAACATTCAGATACAAATCTGAACACAATAATGGATACTTTGAAATTATATTTTTCAAATTTCCTCCTGTTATGTAAATGTTATACTTTTACTTTCTCCTCCCCTATATTCATTCATAATCAGTAGTCATCAATTGCATTCTAGTTTTTAATG